ATAAAAAATGCATAAACTTGTATTTTAGAATTATTTATTTAGTCAAATCATGTACTATCATTTGTGTTTTTCAATTTCCATTTATCACATAAAATGTATATTAGAGTAGAATTTTGTGAAACACACATATATATAATTATTATTTCATAAACCATAAAATCAATTAATTTTATTAGCAAATTTTAAAGAACTTAAAAGTTAGAATGAATGTCTTAAATTTTATTTAATTCTCATAGTCTCTTCTTGATTGCCAGATAGAAATGGCTGTCATTGACAATTAATTCAGAAACTACAATGGATTTCAAAAATCTATTTATTCAGTTCTTTGATATAGGAATTCCTACTTTATGCAAACACAAACACAAATAACCAAATCAAAGTAAAGAACAGAATACTAATGTGCTACTCTAATCCAAATGAAATGTTTCTTCTCAGTCTCAGGTGCCATTTCGTTTCTATTATATTCGGTTTCAAGCACCACGGTCATCATGTGCATGCATTTTCTTGAAAAGAATGGAAAATGCAGAAATGTGTGTGCTGCATTCTGTAAGTGTAACAACTAACTTTAGGTGGTTATGAACATGTTTATTATCTTGCCTTTTTCATAAGAAAATATTTAACACCTGTTTTCAAGAATCAGCATTCCTTGGCAGAAAGTCTCTCTTCAGTTAAGTACAGAACCACAATTTGAGGTACATAGAATCTTTAACTAAATTTTCATACTGTATTTCAGTCAGAACTATCTATGAAGTGAGTGGCAAGCATCACATTTATAAGACATAAGTTTTCACAACCAAAGTTTGTGTCGCCATCCTCGGGGAGAAGTGAAGAAATATCTTCACAAAACTAAAGACTTCATTTTGACATCAAATTTATTAAAAAAGTAACAATACTTATGATAATGAACATAAACTGTCTATCAGATATAAGGTCATTAATTGTGAAGTTCCTTGGTGTACCCAAAATACTGACTTAGTCTCCATATATAATTATACAAAGTAAAATATCATTATCTGAAGAATCTTTAAAAAAGAAACAACATTACATTTACTAGATATCAAATTCGAGATTGGCATTTGTTCTTTGCAAGAAGACTAATATTTTCTTGCCAATTGTGCATTCATCTTTCTCGTGGTGTTCAGATCCTTCACACTGCTCTTTCTTCAAGTTTCTTCCCTTCCCCTGCTTAGTAGAATTTTCTTGCTCTGTGAATCAATGAATAAATATCATCTACTAGCATAAACTTTTTAAAATGTATTGTTTTATTTACATCTTCAGTATGGGACTCATTTCCTGTATGAATGTGTGTATAGAGTGTGTGTGAATGGTAATGTTCATACAGTCTTTGTGGGCATTTATATCAAGGTCTTTGTGAGCAGAAAAAGCATAAAATCTGGGTTTGAGTTTTTCCTATCCACTTTCATCTGGGTGCTAGCCATCAAAATCAGATTGTCAAGCTCATGAATTCAAAGCTATGCTGGGTGGTGCTGGCACACGCCTCTAATCCCAGCACTCGGGAGGCAGAGCCAGGTGGATTTCTGTGAATTTGACGCCAGCCTGATCTACAGAGTGAGATCCAGGATAGGCACCAAAACATCACAGTGAAACCCTTTCTCGAAAACAAGCAAACAAACAAACAAACAAAAATCCAATACTTTACACCCTGGACAATCTTATTGGTCTATGTCACATTTAATTGAAAGAAATTTTATGACTGCCACAGCCGTGCACAATATTGGCTGTACTTCAACATTTACAGGGAAAAGTGTGTGTGTGTGGGGGGGGTTGATTGTGAAGTTCATATCAAATGAACTTCCAAAATTAAGACTTATTTATAAAGAGTTTAAATCAAAATGTAAATCAATTTGAAGGCTCAGTGCCAAGCACTAATGGAATAAAGCCATCTGGATGGATCCAACAAAACACGACGTGTGTTCCATAAACACATGATGAAAGATCTTGTAACCATGACAATTAAATGTATTGGAGTAAAAATATTCAAAACAGGAGTCCTGGGTTGTACCTAGGGTCTAATATCTCAAAATAATGAGCTTTGGCTCAAGATTACACAAACTGACATGTATATATTCCTGCAGAACTGGCCTCAAATCCTATTAGAAATCTATATTTTTCTATAGTAAAAATTATATGATGAAATTCAAATATTCAAAACTGAGGGCATCTTGACAGGGGGCGACTGTAGTAGCATTCAGGTTCAAGTGCTAAGTAAGACCATGGATTTCCTTTCTACTCTTTTTTTTTTTTTTTTTTTTTTTTTTTTTGGTTTTTCGAGACAGGGTTTCTCTGTGTAGCTTTGCGCCTTTCCTGGAGCTCACTTGGTAGCCCAGGCTGGCCTCGAACTCACAGAGATCCGCCTGGCTCTGCCTCCCGAGTGCTGGGATTAAAGGCATGCGCCACCAACGCCCGGCTCCTTTCTACTCTTAAGTAATGAAAGTTTTACCTCTTTGAATGGGATATTATCCAGCAATCCCATGAGTGTCTATCAACTCTTCAATTATGATTAGTTTGGGGTCAATATCTACTTACCTTCCTTCCCACAGACACACCCGCTTCTGCATAAAATTTCAGTAGGTGTTTATCTACTCCACTTTCTTATCTGTTGTGTACAACTATGTCCATTAACTGAATGAATTTTGTGGTTTAATGACGGTAGATTTTCTTAACTATCCCTCATACATTCAATATGTTGTTTAATTCATCAATGGACATCTCATTTGCCCTCTCACATTGCTAATTCAACACTGTAACCCTGTATTTTATTTTCTAATGCCAATGTTTTCCTGTTCCTTATTCTGTAAGCTACTTACCTGAGTGGGCAGGTTCTGGACCAGACTCATTTTTACTTCAGATTAAATATTCAAAATAAAAATATTGAAAGCTAGTGTCTACATATGAGACTTTTATCCACATTAAAAAAAACTTTAATTAGAGTAGCTCATAAGTCCATATTCAAGGACTCAATGTTGTCGTTTGGGTTTCAACAAATAACAATTTCAAACAAAAATTTTAATTTGATATGTCAATGATTATGATTAGTCTTCTGAATCAATCAATCTTAACTGCTATTTTAAATTACATGTCATTTGTTAAGAGTGAACAAACTCAAAGGCATTTAACTATGTAAACCTCATAATCTTGAATCAGCCCACAGAGCATCAAGTAATAAAGAAATTTCATAAGGACCTTCTGAAAGGCATGTATGGAATCACTTTACAATCCTGGGCACTAATTTTCTTGATCCACAGAATGTTGAGAAAATTAACCAATTTCAAGAGAAAAAAAAACCATCTTTATCCAGTTTCTGACATGAGCCCTCCCATAAGTCCTCAGACAAAGAACTCTTTTGAAAACTCTTTGAGGACCTCACTACAAAAGTTTTGTAGCTTTGGTATATTGGTCATTTGTATTCACATCAATTTAAATGAAAGTATTCATGGTACAGTGTTGTGAAAATGTCGGCTGGCAGAGGCCATATTGTTTGGAATTCTCAGGAAGCAGATGGATACAACATACATTATAAAAGAGGGTTTATTAGACAGAGCAGTCAATGTGTGTTTGGTCAGTTTGAAGTACTCTGCCTGGGGGATGTTTTGGGCTCTTGAAGACACCATAGGTGGCATAGAAAACCATACAACAATAAGCGGCCATTTCAACATTATGTGCCATCTCCATTTCAGTAAGATATATGTATGCTCCCCTTTCAGGCTCTCCTTGCCCCTCTGACAATTGTGGAGCATCCCTTTTCATCATTGGACATGACACCATTTGGACAAGGAGGGTAAGATTAGCAGGCTTGTGTGGTCACCCCTCATTGGCTGGGCACGATCCGGACCATTGTCATAGACTGTTGCTAGGCCCTCATGCAGACTCTGCAGGACCAGGAACTCTGACAGTGACTTTTTCTAGCTCCTCAGGCCAACTCTGCATAATCAGGAGCTTTGACGTGGATTAGGAACTCTGCCAACTCCTGTTGCTAGCTCATCAGACAGACTCTGAACAATCTAGAACTCTGACATTGACTAGGAACTCTGATGACACCTGTTGCTAAGTCCTAAGGCAGACTCAAGTTTGGCTCTTACGGAGTAAGGTACTTGCATTCTTTGGCTGCTGGTCTGAGCCAATTTCCTCAACTCTGTGGGTCTGTCCTACTACATATACACCCTTTATTTTATTACCAAAATATATTAAGGGAACCTGGTCAGCTCAGCTTCTATATTATCCATGAGAGCTAACACACACAATTTTCCAAATTAATCAGACATGGGCAGAGGTTGTGGCCTTTGACTGTTTTTTAAACTCTTGGCATGATATAGAAAGGCTGTTGCATCCCTCCTGGATTTTCACTTGTGTTCTGATTGCCGGGTGGCACTTTTAATCTCTCTCTTTTTTAAATGGCTTCCACCACACATCCCACAACAACAGGCACCACAGAGGTGACTCTGCAGAAGTCAATCCCTCTAAGACATCCATCTCACGGCCCACTAAAGACAAGTGCATGCCTGCCTTTCTGAAATGCAAAAGGCCTGACCCTCCCAACATGGGGTGAGTCCTCTGGGATGGATGCTCTTCAAGGGCTGGTAGTCACAGACGGCTAAGACCTTGCTTGGCAAGCCAACCTAAGACAGGCACAGTCCAGTTACAGGGAACCCTGAGCCGGGGTCAACAGGACAGGAGCAAATGACTCTGACTCCCATTGAGCACCCACATAATAAAATAAAGGATGGATATGTAGTAGGACAGGACCATGGATCAAGCAAATTCGGTGAGACCACTTACTAAGTATTCACATGTCATACTTTTTATGAGTCAGCCTGGAGTCTTCCTGAGGGCCTAGTAACAGGCACTGTCAGAGTTCCTGATTGTGCCCAGTGGATGAGGGATGACCTCACAAGTCCCCCAGATTGTGACATACCCTGGGTGCTGGGAGGAGAGTATAAAAGGCCTTCCCTGTTATTGAATTAATGATTCTGCTCTTTCCCTTCAACGGACTCCTGGTGTCTGTGTCATTGATGCCATTTTTCTCACCCCTTCCCTAAGGGAGATGCTATTTTCCACTAACACCTCCCTCACTCTGATCCCAATTCTTCATCACAATCTGGAATAGTCTTATATTTACAGATTCTCTAGTAAGTCTGAACATTTTTATTTATTTGATTTCTTGCATTCAATTTGTATATTTTGGATGTTAGACTTTTTCTGTTCATTATTTTTGTTTTATTTATCTGAGTTCTTCTGTTCAATATATATATATTTTGTATATTAGACCTTTATTAAATGACAATTTTTGTTTTATTTGATTTGCTGTGTTCAATAAGTATATTTTATATTTGACCATTATCACATGAAAATTTTATTTCCTTTTTTAAACTTCTTTGGAACAATATGTATATTTTGAACATCCGAGCTTTATCAGGTGAGAATTTTTGTTTTTTTTAAATTTCTTCTTTGCAAAAAGAAAATTATGATATATGGATGTTATCACATGTGAATATTTATGCTATTCTTATTAGGTGCTTTCAATATTTATATTTTGGATATTAGTTCTTCATCAGATAAGGATTTTGTTTTATTTATCTACTTTCTTGCGTTCAATATGTTAATTTTGGATATTAGACCATTATCAGAGGAGAATTTTTGATTTATTTATCTAATATATTGTACTGAATATGGATATGTTCGACATTAGACTTTTATCAGATGAGAATTTTTGTTTTATTTAATTTCTTGTATTTAATAATATATTTTGAATATTAGATTTCTAGTAGATAAAAATTTTTTTATTTAATTTCTTGGGTTCAACAGGTACACTTTTTGATAATAGACCTTCATCAGTTGGCAACTTTTGCTTTATTTGTCTAATAATATTCAATATGATATTTTTGATATTAAACCTTTATCAAATGCCAATTTTTATTTTTTAATTTCTTGGGTTCAATAATATATTTTGTATATTAGAACTCTATCAGATGAGAAATGTTGTTGTATTCATTTGATTTCTGTTTTGAATATGTATATTTTAGATATAAATTCTTTATCAGGTGAGATTAGAACAATGTTGTTCTGATTGTGTAGAGAAAGGCACCTTGGAAATATATTTCTCATGACGTTGAGAAAGGCACTGTGGGTAATGTAGTTCAGATGATGTAGAGAAAGGCACTGTGGGAAATGTAGTTTTGACGACACAGGAAAAGGCACTGTGGGAAATGTAGTTGTGATGAACAGAGAAAGATACTGTGGGCAAGGTAGTTTTCATGACACAAAGAAAGGCACTGTGGGAAATGTATTTCTGATGATGTAAAGAAAGGCACTGTGGGAAATGTTCTGACAACACAGAGAAAGTCATTGTGGGAAATGTAGTTCTCATGATACTGTGCTTGCTTTACATTTCTACTGATTTGAGAAAAATGAAAAACACTGATTTGAGAAAAGAAAAGAAAAATGAAAAAAACTGATTTGAGAAAAAAGAGAATAATGAAAAAACTGATTTGAGAAAAGAAGAGAAAAATGAAAAACCTGATTTGAGAAAAGAAGAGAAAAATGAAAAAAACTGATTTGAGAAAAGAGAAAAATGAAAAAAAACTGATTTGAGAAAAGAGAAAATTGAAAAAAAACTGACTTGAGAAAAGAAGAGAAAAATGATGAAAACCCTTGACTTCCATGTGCAGGACTGAAAAAACTGAAATAAAAATGAGTGATGATTAAATAAATTACGTTTTTATTTTGTATATCCTCTCTTTCACAGACACCTGTCCTCAATGGAGATATTCGTCTGGTGAGTGGAGAGTTAATAAAGCCCCATGGCTGTTTAAATTCGAGTAGGTTTCAAATAAATTAATTACTTAATCAAAAATACTCAATTTGGAGAAATATGCTCAAAATATAAAAACTTAAAAAAAACTTTTAAAATAATACAAAGAAGAAGAAACATCTTTCCAACAATAGTAACATCATAAAATATGGTTGAAATTGTTTATCTTTTAATTCCCTCCTTACGGCATTCTATAGACCATTTATTTATTTATTTATTTATTTATTTATTTATTTATTTATTTATTTACTTACTTATTCATTTATTTGGTATGGGTTTCAAATAGAAAAAATAATTCATGTAAGGCCTATGATCATTTATTTTCCAGGTAAAGTGGATGAATTTAGGAGGGCAATCAATGACTAAATAGGACTAGCATCATGCTAAGTCCTGAAGGTGACGCACTGAATTGAGATTAAAATATAATGCAAAGTGGATTTGCATCTTTCCAACTTGCATATACATCCTTCCACATGACTTACTACTTTTATATTTTAAAAAGAAATGCAACCACGAGCACTGAGAAAATAAGGTTCCCGATACCAAGATCCTGAAAAGGAAGCATGAAACCCACTTGCTTGTCTTTAGAAGGAATCTGAATAATGAGATTTCGGGGGTGAGAAATCCACCATTCTGCACACCGTCATCCATCTCAGGCTCTTGTGTATTCCATACAGCATGACGTCTTTATTACAATGTAATATATTTTTTATTGATGCTCCAAATTATACAGGTGACAAGACGGAGCCTACTTGCTCCACATTTGCTCATGGCATCAAAATCACCCATGCAAAGTTGTACCATTTTTCTCTCCCGGGGGTCTGATCACCTGTCCTGTGTTGTTCAAATCCTGAACTTAGTCCTTGCACTCAAATTTCCTCCCTTGCGTATTTGGCGCAGTTGTCTTTCTCTATGGTTCACTGAGTAAAGATTTTCTTCTTCATCTTTTTATATTTTAGGTTTTTTTGAGACAGGGTTTCTCTGTGTAGTTTTGGTGCCTGTCCTGGATCTCGCTCTGTGCACCAGGCTAGTCTTGAACTCACAGAGATCTGCCTGCCTCTGCCTCCTGAGTGGTGGAATTAAAGGCGTTTGTCACCACCACTGCCAGGCTGAGCAAAGTTTTTCTGCTGGAATGAGTGTTTAAATAAAATTATTTATTTTTGCATCTACCTAGTATTAAATCAAAACCCCCACTATGGGCGTGGCATATGCTAATGAGGGATATTGTCTGTCTTCGTGGTGATTAGGGGTGTGGTATGCTAGTGAGGCATCTCCTCAGTCTTAATGATGATTAGGGGCTTGGCATATGCTAATGAAGTGTGTGCTCTGTGCATGGTGGTTAGGGGCGTGGTATATGTAAATGAGGGGCCTCCTCTGTCTTCATGATTATTGGGGGCAAGGTGTATGCTAATGAGGGGTCTCCTCTGTCTTCATGGTGATTGGGGGTCTGGGATATGCTAATGAGGGGTGTGCTCTGTGCATGATTATCAGGGGCCTGGTGTATGCTGATGAGGGGTCTCCTCTGTGGATGATTATTAGGGGCGTGGCATATGCTAATGAGGGATGTGCTCTGTGTATGGTGGATAGGGACATGGTGTATGCTAATGAGGGGTCTCTTCTGTGCATGATAATTAGGGGAGTAGCATATGCTAATGAGGGGGTCTCCTTTGTGCATGATGATTAGAAACATGGCGTATGATAATGAGATGTGTGCTCTGTGCATGATAATTAGGTGAGTGGCTTATGCTAATGAGGGGTGTCCTCTCTGTATGATAATTAGGGACATGGAATATGATAATGAGAGGTGTCCTCTGTGCATGGTGGTTATGACTCTGTGCATGGTGGTTAGGGGCGTGGCGTATGCTAATGAGGGGTCTCTTTATTCTTTCACCATTGACTAAAAGGAGCATCCAATCTGTTCCCAAAGGCTAAGAATTTTCAGAACCCAACTATAACATTATTTCGTGGCTACTTCTTAACTATAACATTGCAGCTCTTCTGAGTTGTAATATAAATATCTGATGGGGAGGATACTTTATATATGACCCCTCTGGGGTTCATGGTTCACACTTTGAGAATGGGTAGTGTAGAATAAAAGGAACTTTGAATCTGATACTACATTCCAGCATCATCCCACCCTTCATAAGATAGACTGGGATCTTTATTTATTTATTTTGGCCTGAGGTATTCTGGGATATCCCTTTTCTTCGTTATGCCCAATATGTTCTCTGAGTCATGATCCCTTCAGCCTTCACTTTATGGCTTTCTGATCATCTTTCTGACGTGGATCTTTGAGAGACTCCCTTTCTAAGAATATCCAAGCTGGGTATCCCAGAGCCCAATGTTTGCAAACAGAGTCTAGAATGCAGGCCATCTACCTTCAAGTCAGTCACCAAACATTGAGTGAATCCACCATTCATGGCCATATCTGAGATCAAGACACAGAATAGATGAGGCAAACTTGCCAGTGATAGTCATTCCTGTTGTTACAAACAGCGTCTTAATGTAAGCTAGTCCCCCACAGATTCAAGACAACTTATGGAAATACGAACATTGCTTGAATATTTCAAGCTGATGAGCCACGATGGGATATCTCTCTACTGATGATCTCTTTTAAGACAGGGAAGTGTGACTCTTCCCACCAAGTACCAAGAAGATTCTGATATTCAGTTTTGTTCAAGAGTTCCTCGTAGTTTCTCTTTCCTAACAGGTGTCAAGTACTCCATGATTCCATGATTATACCACTTATCCTCCTTTTTTAAATTGTTTTTTTTTTGAGACAGGGTTTCTCTGTGTAACTTTGCACCTTTCCTGGATATCGCTCTGTAGACCAGGCTGGCCTTGAATTCAAAAGATCCACCTGCCTATGCCTCGTGACTGCTGTGATTTAAGGTGTGTGCCACCACTGCCCAGCTCATTCTCCTTTCTAGATAAGATGTCAGACCCATCACTTAGAACAAAGGCTGTCTCTGACTTTTGTCCCTTGGCCCAAGGATTTCAATATTTTCATTTCCATCTTACATGACACTCCCATTTGTCCATTCTTACAATTGGGTCATAATCATTTTCCTACTCAACAACAGAGACTGAGATGAAGGGAACATTATACTCCCTTTCTTTATAGAAAAAATTATTGGATGCTTACAGACTACATAGTGGGAGCCTATGATGTCTCTTGCAAATAAGCAGGTCTTAGATATTCTACATTTTCTTTGGAAATTTTGGGCATAATTCTCTGATAAGTGAAACTCCAAAGTGTTCCTTATGGTCATGGAGGTGGTTCAGATACTCATCTCTTTGAAGACACTTCAGTTCTACCCCTCTGATCTATTTAGTTGACCTTGATTTGTATGGTGACTTAAAATTTACTATGACAGCCTTCCCAGCTGACCAAGTCAGACATTTAAACTTCTGTTCCAGATGTGACCACAGAACATCTTGTTCTATGTAACAGGGAAGATGATATAGAGTTTAAGAAAAAATTATATTGATCAGCCTATAAGGAAGTAAACATACATGAAAATTTTCTGTTTCATCAGTACAGCCAAATAAAGACTTTGGAAGCATCATGGCTCAGAAGAGCAACATCCTTCTGGAAGAAAATTCTGATTTCTTTCTGGACTCTCAAAGATTCAATTCAGGGTATGCATATCTGTAACTAGGAGGCACATTGAAAACTTAATGAGGTAGAGCCCAAATGTTCTCCCATTAACCAAGGTCACCTAGGGCTTTCACCAGCCACCAAGGGTGAATTTTGAAAAATGTGGCTAGACTATTTTCTCCTCTGAATAAAGGGTTTCAGAAATTTTCCCTTGCCCAAGCTAGTCTCATAGCTTTTCACCCCGACAAAGGGGTTACAGAACTCCCTCTACAAAAGAGTCACTGTGCACTATTTTTTAAAACACAATCTTCCATCTATACGTGGGTCAAAGGGATCCTCAGGCCTTTCCTTCCTCTACAATGTGATATTAGACATTACCTATCTCTGCAAGGGAAAATTAAACTATCTTTGTTCAAGAGTAAGTCACACATTTACTTTATGCACAAGGTGATGTTAAATGTGCTTCTCTGACTAATATGACCTTTTCTTATTTTCCCAATTGGACCTTGTAATCCATGGAGAATCTCCATGTGTATGACTCTAACTAAAAAGCCTTAAACCCTCACTCTCTGTACTAGGGTAGATGTTGGGAAAACCCACTTATTAGGAACTGACCTCATGACTAGGCCGGTGTGATGTCTAAGAGCCTGGTACTCAGGTAAGAGTCCTGAATTTTATAATTATTATTATTTATATAATATTTGATATATTTATAATATATTATATAATTATAATATAATTTATATACTGGGACTACCAGTTTATAGCCAAATATAGTGAGAATCCACACTTCATTCTACTCCATGTAGCTGAACTTAAGCTTAAAAAGTCTACCTAGAGAGGAACTTTTGACCTGAATCTTAGACAAATGGTGAGAAGTATACCAGGCTTACTGGGGAATCTGTAAATATAAGACTTTTCCAGATTGAGAAGAAGAATTTGGATCAGAGTAGAGGAGGTGTTAGAGGAAACTAACAGCTCCCTTAGGAGAGGGGGTGAGAAGAAATGGCATCAATGACACAGACACCAGTAGTTCATTGAAAGCAAACAGCAAAGTTGCTTATTCAGTAACAGAGAAGCCCTTATATACTCTTCTCCCAGCACCCAGGCTATGTCACACACTGGTGGCATTGTGTTGTCATCCCATATTGGCTGGGCACTATCAGGAACTCTCACAGAACCTGTTGCTAGGCCCTCAGCAGACTCCAGGTTGGCTCATAAGGAGTATGGCTTGTGCATATTTGGCAAGTGGTCTGGCCCGATTTGCTTGATCCATGGGCCTGTCCTACTACATATCCATCCTTTATTTTATTATGTGGGTGCTCAATGGGAGTCAGAGTCCTGTCTTGTTGACCCTGCCTCAGGGTTCCCAGTAACTGGACTGTGCCTGTCTTAGGTAGGCTTGCCAAATAAGGACTTACCGTCTGTGACTACCGGCCCTTGAAGAGTGTCCATCCCTGGGGAGTCACCCAGGGTTGGGAGGGTCAGATCTTTGGGATTTCAGAAAGCCAGGCATGCACAGGTCTGTGGAGGGCCATGAGCTGGATGTCTAAGAGTGATTGACGTCTGTAGAGTCACTTCAGTGGTGCCCATTGTTTCCTGATCTGTGGTGGGAGACACTTAAAAAGGAGAAAAATTTAAAGCACCACCCACCCATCAAAAACATGTAAGAATCCAGGAAGGATCCAACACACCCTTTCTATATCATGCCAAAAAATTAAAAAAAAAAAAAGTCAAAGTCCATAACCTCTGCCCTTGTATGATTTAATTGGTAATTTTTTTGTGTTAGCTGTCATGGATAATATAGAAGCTGAACTGACCAGAAGCCCTTAATATATTTAGGTAATAAAATACAGGGTGGATATTTAGTAGGACAGGCCCACAGGGTTGAGGAAATTGGCTAAGACCAGTAGTCAAGGAATTCAAGTACCTTACTCCTTGAGAGCCAAACTTGAGTCTGCCTGAGGACCTAGCAACAGTTGTTATCAGAGTTCCTAGTGAATGTCAGAGTTCCAGAATGTTCATAGTCTGTCTGATGACCTAGCAACAGGAGCTGGCAGAGTTCCTAGTCCATGTTAGACTCCTGATTGGGCAGAGTTAGCCTGAGGACCTAGCAAGAGTCACTGTCAGAGTTTCTGGTTGATTTCAAGAGTTCCTGATCCTGCAGAGTCTGCATGAGGCCCTAGCAACAGTCTATGTGAGTGGTCCTGATAGTGCCCAGCCAATGAGGGATGACCACAGAAGCCTGCTAATCTAACATTCCTCGTCCAAATGGTGTCATTTTCAATGACGAAAAGGGAAGCTCAACAATTGTTAGAGGGGCAAGGAGAGCCTGAAAAGGGAGCATACATATATCGTAATGAAATGT